ACCTTGTATTTCCCAGTAGCACTTAGCTCAGTTAGAATCACGTGGTTAGTCTGTAAGTAATTAACTCTTTAAAGTCTCTCCTCCCCTCAAGAAGGCCTCCTTCGCGAGGGCCTGGGTCAGGCCTCACCATGGGCTGAACACCAAGTGGACACTCAGGTATTTGTGGAGTAAAAGAATGAAAGGCCTTTGGTACATAAGGCAAAGTGCTTCACAGAAAGGTGGTTTCCATTTACTCTCCTGTCAAAACATGCGAGGGTGCCTGTTTTGCCACTCCTTTGCCCAAACTGAGATTTATCTTAAAAAAAAAAAATTGGACTGATATTTTTATATAGTCCAATCTCATTAACATTTTATTCTTATTTTATTTACTTAGAAATTCTTTCTGTATCTTAAAAATAGGTAAATATTCTAATATTTTCTCCTAATAGCTTATTTCCCTATTACATTTTACTCTTCATCCTTTCCTTATTTATTTTGATGTATGGTGTTTGCTGACTTTTTTAGTTAAGTTGGAAATAACAGTACCTTTTATTTCAGTACCATTTACTGAATAATCCTTTTTACCCCTACTGACTTTAAAATCATCTTTATTATATTACTGTATTCTTATAAATTCCAGCATCTGTTTTTGGACCATGTATTGCGCTATCAGTTTTGAAGCCAGTAAAACATTTCTTAAATGCTATTTTAGCAACTGATATATATTATAATATTTGAAAGAACAATTCATCCTCCCTAATTACTCTTCTTTCTCAGTATTTTCTTAGATGTTATTGAATTTTATTCCTCTAAGTGAATTTTAGAGTTAAATAATGTACTCATATTAAACAAATCCTGTTGGGATTTTAAGTGAAAATTCATTAAGTGTTGTAAGTTAATTCAGAAAGAATCTACCTTGTGATAATACTGTTATCTTACTACGCAAGAACATGTCATTATCACTTAGCAAGTCCATTTCATCTCTCAGTGAAAAGATTGGGGTTTTCATACAGGTCTACAAATTTTTAAAAATATTATAAATATAAACTTTTTATAGCTGGTATGAAGGAAAATATTTTTACCCATTATATTTTTCTAGCTAGTTGTGATGAGTAGATTTTTAAAAGCCATTTATTTTTGTATGTTTATTTTTTTATCCAGCTATTTATTAGTGTATGTAGTTTTTTAGTTTATTCTTGTGGGTTTTCTAGGAAGACAGGCACCTGATCTTATAATCAGTGATAACTTTGTTTCCTTCCTATTGAATGTATTTCTTATTTTTGTTTTAGGTCTTGGTTTGAGTTTTTCTAGAATGCTTGAGACAACAGTATTAGTAATTATACTATCTGAATTATATGTATCTCTTAGTTTATTTTCGGAAGCAGATAGTAACATCTCATAGCTCTTTGAAACGATTCTGGATCAAATTCATGTGGATCATATGGGTCCAGTGGCAATACGATACCTCAACTGGCAGTAATCTGGGAAAAACAGTTGTAGAAATAACCCTAAGCATTTGTAGATGGAGGTGCAATGATGGTCAAAAGTACCCACATTCCATGCAGTGTTTTTGCTTGTAAAATGATGAAGTCTAGGGGTGCTTGGGTGGCTCATTCGGTTAACTGGCTGTCTTTGGCTCAGGTCATGATCCTGGATCCCTGGGATGGAGCCGCAGTGTTGGGCTCCCTGCTCAGCTGGGAGCCTGTTTCTCCCTCTCTCTGCCCCTCCCCCTGCTTGTGCTCGCTCTCCCTCTCGCTCTCTGTTAAATAAATAAATAAAAGCTTTAAAAAGAAATGAGGAAATCTAACAAAATGGAGAAATATTTGTTTCCCTACTCTGCAAAACATATTTTAGGACTCCCTTTTATGAGGGTTGAGGCAAACTCAACTGACACACTACTTCCAAATCCTGAGCTCAGTTGAGCTTCTTCTTACCTAACACTTTGACAGTAAGTGGGATGAAAATTGCAGCTGCCTAGGCTACTTCAATGTTAAATGAAAGAACAATAATAATAAAGTTAGAAAGGAATAATTGCATTGCAGGAAATAAACTAAGAAAAACAACTGTACTACCCAGAAAGAACTTGTCATGATAACAGAATGAAAACAGTACCTTTGGTGCTGCTACTTCCAGGAAGGAAAAATTCAAAAGATTCTATTTTGAAATCACTATGTAAATGTAAAAAAGTCTGTCATTTCCATTCATTCTATTCATTGTAATTTTCTCCTGACAGTAACAGTTGTCACGTGTAATTTTTGCCCTTTTAGATTTTAATTTTTTTAAAGTACAGAACTTGCTGTGACAGAGAACAAAGTCCCTTGATAAGGCTGCAGTGCAGACATGCCTGTGAAAACCGGCCTACTATTGTACCCCTCAGGGACAAGTATCTCAAGTAATGGCTTTAGTATTCAGTTCGATCAGTTGGACTGAATTTTATGAAGTGAAAACTCCTAAGACAGTGTAATGACTTCAGGCTTCCATTGGAGCTTACTGAAATGACTATAAAATGACTCCTATTTCCCACAACCATGCAGCTTTCTTGCCACATGGGTTTTTGTTTGTTAAAAAACTCTGTGTATTCCTATGTTGTTGGGGTACATTCTTTTTTTTTTTATTTAAGATTTTATTTATTTGAGAGAGAACAAGCAGAGGGAGAGGGAGAAGCAGGCTCCCTGCCAGGCAGAGAGCTGGACTCGGGGCTCGGTCCCAGGACCCTGGGATCATGACCTGAGCCGAAGGCAGACGCTGAACCAACTGAGCCACCCAGGTGCCCCTGTTGTTGGGGTAAATTCTTAATGATGATGTTGTTAATATTAGGAACATATATATATATTGATGGGTTACAGTGGCAGGCACTGTTCTGAGTGCTTCTCAAAAATTGTCGAATTTAAATAGTTCTTAATATTGCAGATTTTTACCTTTTAGATAAATGCACTCCTATAAGTCTTCCTGCTTCTCAAGGTCAGATGACAGGTTGATGAAGTAGATGAATTAGGATGACTCTTTGACATACACCCTCCCCTCTGTTACTTCTCCACCATTCTGAAGTTATAGGAAAAAGAGAGGAGGGGGGAAGGAAGGTCAAGATAATCCTAGGCAGTTCAGGCAGAAATGGAGGGAAAAGATAAAAGCTGTTGAAAGAAGAGTTTGAATACACTTCTCCTCTTACTACTAATCTGGCTAACTTTTGAAGTTAATATAAGAATCTGAATTAGTGCCTGTTACTGAGCATCTGCTATGTTTCAGGTATTGTGCCAACTGATTTACATGCAGGAGATCTGTATCACTTAAAAGGATTTCATGCTGATCATAATCAGATTTCTTGAATATTAACTTCCCAGTGTGCATTGAAAATATTCTGCTTGTTACCAGAAAAATTTCATTTTATCACTATTTGGAAGAATAGTTCTTATATGAATGAGTCATCCCCATAATAACAAACCCTTCTGGACAGACAATAGACTTCTCTCTAAGCTTTCCTGATCAACCCTCTTCTCTGGGTCTTTGCCTTTTCCTATGTGTCTGTGGCACAAAATTTTGCATTTAATTAGGTAATGCCTCAGATTTCCTATTATTCTGGCTAAAGCTTTGTCTTTGTCTAAGTATGTTCTCAATTCAAGAGTATTACTTCTCTCTTTTATGTTCCCACAAGCCTGAGTACAGTGTTAGTTACAAATTAGGTACTTAATAAACAATTCTGAAATAAATGAGTTAATGAATAAATGAACAGACTTTAAGTTGCCATTGGCCACTTAATGATTCTGAGGAGCTATGTATAATATATGTGCAATATAAAGTCAGAAAATTTTCAAAAGATGTCATTGCTTTTTTTCCTTTTTAATCTGAAGAAGTAGCTCTCAAATTTTTGGTCTCAGGATCCCTTTGCACTTAAAAATTATTGAGTTCCCCAGTACAGAGAAGATTAGCATGACCCCTTCACAAGGATGACATGCAACTTCATGAAGCATTCCATATTTTCTGTGATATTTGGAAACTCAATAAATGCTGTACCTGGGGCGCGTGGGTGGCTCAGTCGTTAAGCGTCTGCCTCCGGCTCAGGTAATGATCCCAGGGTCCTGGGATCGAGTCCCGCATCGGGCTCCCTGCTCGGCAGGAAGCCTGCTTCTCCCTTTCCCACTCCCCCTGCTTGTGTTCCCTCTCTCGCTGTCTCTCTGTCTGTCCAAAAAAAAAAAAAAATCTTTAGTATATGTGCTGCCGAAGCGAGCACAAAAAAAAAAAAATCTTTAAAAAAATAAATAAATGCTGTACCTTTAAAAAAAATTGAGTTCCCCAATGAGTTTTTGTCAGTGAGGATTATATCTAGTGATGCTTACCGTATTATAAATTAAAACTGAGACATTATTAAAATACAAGAACATAAGTATGTATTCCACTAGTTGTGAGAGCAGTGACATCAACTAATGTCATGTAGCTTCTGGTGAACTCCACTGTACACTCGTGAGAGAATGAGAATGAAAAACATCAGAGTATTATTGTGAAAATAGTTTAGACCTCATAGACCCCTGAAAACATCATCTTGGAAAATTAATAATCTAAAGTATACCACTGGGGCACCTGGGTGGCTCAGACAGTTAAGCGTCTGCCTTCAGCTCAGGTCATGATCTCGGGGTCCTAGAATTGAATCCCGTATCAGGCTCTCTGCTCAGTGGGGAGTTTGCTTCTCCCTCTCCCTCCGCCCCTCCCCCCTGTTTGTGCACTCTCTCTCTCTCTGTCAAATAAATAAAATCTTAAAAAAAAAAATAAAGTATACCACTGGACTACTGAATCAGGCTATCCTACGGGTAGTCTTTAATCTTAAGGTTAAAACCTTTTTACCTTTGTGTTAAATCATGAGTATTGTGAGTGTTGTAGATGGTTCTAATTATATAGCAAGCACAAAATTAATTTTTAATTAATGTTAAACGATAACTTTTTTTGGTTGAAATTTTCATCATTTAAAAAAACAATATTTGGAAATTGTGTTCAGTGTACATTTAAAATTGAGTTCTTTTCCATTGCAGTTCCTCAGTTTGAAACGACATGTGGTTATGTAGAAGCTACACTTGAAGAGTTCCTGAGCTGGAACTGTGACCAGCCTACTATATATGGACCATTTAGAGATTATGATCATTCCAAATTCTGGGCTTATGCTGACTATAAATATTTTGTCAGCCTATTTGACGACAAGGCAGATATTTTCCAGGTAAGTCAATACATTCCTTTTAATCTTGGTAATAATTTATTCTTGAGAAAAGATCACAAATTAGAACTTCTCTGGTACCTTATTCCTTCACTATCATCTTCTCTCAAAAGTAGTCACTGTGAGTCTTAAGTATTTTATCCATTCAAGCTAAAAGTTTTGCTCAGGTGAAGTGTAATGGTCGTCTCACTCAGATGAGCAGGCTTGTCACTCTTCCTACTCAGCAAACTTCTTACACACTCTCTCATTCGCCTTTAAACAGTCCCAGGGCTGGTTTGGCATGTATGGGAAGCATAGATTGTGTATAGAACTTTATTTCCTGATTATTACTTGAAGAAGAGTTCACGAAAGCCTGGAGGCATTCCAGGCTACTGCTGCCCGTCCCTCCCTGCTCTGAGGGATTAGTACAGACGGGTTAATGGCCTGAGGCAGAGAGTGCTGGGCTCCTGGTTGATTGCAGACCTGCAGAAGTATGGGAGTGCTTGCAGAAGGGTAGAATGTGGAAATTCTTTGTCATGTGTTGACATAACTGACAGAAGAGTTTGCAGACTACCATATCCTCTTTTAAGTGTTTTCTGCCTCCAACTGCCAGCTTATTTGTGGGGTGATTTCGCAAACTCCCTGTTCTGGTTTCTGTGTGTGTCTCAGCCATGAGGCAGGAATGGGAGTAGTTCCAGGAAGCCATTTGGATGACTCTGCATTACCCACAATCAGGTCAGGGCTCCAGAGTCCTTTATCCTGCCCCTGATCCTTTGTCCAGAGAAGTATTTGGCCATCACTGCAGGCTGTCATGCTTCTACTCTCCGGCCCCCTGGACTGCTCTCCTCCTGCCTGTCACCATTACCCCCTCTCTGGATTTTCCTTTCACATAGGCTGATAGTCCTTAGACTTTTTTTTTTTAAGTTTTTATTTAAATTCCAGTTAGTTAACATACAGTGTAATGTTAGTTTCAGGTGTACAACATAGTGATTCAGCATCCCATAGATCACCCAGTGCTCATCACAACAAGTGCACTCCTTAATCCACATCACCTGTTTCCTTTTCCATTCAGCCTATATTTTTCTTTTTTTCACTTCAAGTCAAGGTGTAGATGCTGACATTTACATAGTTATGTAACACAATGATCAATACTTTGTAGCTTTAAAGAATTTTTTTGAATGCTTACTTAAATTTTGCTTTTTATAAAAAAAAGGAAAAATGTATCACTTGTCTCAGAATTGTTAGTTGAGTATATATTTTTCTCATAACATGAAAGAATGCATCAGTTTTGAAAATATTCAGTAGATGCTTTCTGAATCGAAAGTCTATACCAAATCTATTTACTCATTTTCAAATGATAATTTTGAGGTAATTTTTTTCTTGTAACTTTATCTGTGATCACTTTATGAATCTTTAACCCTGGAACTTTTAGATATCATAGTTAACTTTTAGAGTCTTTTATTATATTTCTTGCACTGTCACCCATCCTGTAGATTAGACTAGTACTTTTGTACTCCATATTTCAGGTAAAACATTGTGTAATAGTAATATTTATCAAGTACTTCTTATACTTGGTGCTCTTCTAAGTGCTTTACATTTATAATCATCAAGTAACCCTATGATATAATAATTATCCCTGTTTTGGGGCGCCTGGGTGGCTCAGTCGGTTAAGCATCTGCCTTCGACTCAGGTCATGATCCCAGGGTCCTGGGATGGAGCCCAGCATCGGGCTCCCTGCTTGGCAGAAGCCTGCTTCTCCCTGTCCCACTCCCCCTGCTTGTGTTCCCTCTCTCGCTGTCTCTTTCTCTGTCAAATAAATAAATAAAATCTTTAAAAAAAAAAAAATCCCTCTTTTAAGAAAAAAGAGGCACAAAGACGTAAACCTTTTCTGAAATTCTACAGCTAAGAAAAGAGTAACCCAAGCAGTCTGTCCTGCGAGCTTTAACTGCTGCAGGGTATGCATACACAGGGTCCGAATACATCTAGTTCTTTAGGGGCCCCACAGCTGGGGTAAGGACTTCCATGTCTGCTGAGTCTGGGCTCGCTCTACCTTGCATGAATCTCCCATCTGACTCCATCAGTCGTTCTTTCTCAGCCCAGGCATGACAGCACTGGACAGACACGTGTCCTGTCCATTAAGTGTGGATATAAAAGGCCTTTTGGTAGTGTGCCGGAATTCTAATTGAGCCCTTATACAACCTCATGTTTTCAGTTGAATGAGTTTTTGGTCAGCTCAATTATGGTGATTTATCCTCTGGATTAGAACAGGGAAATCTTTTATGAACAAAAAATTCATTATGATTATATCATTTTTTAATCTCAGAGATTTCTGAGCACCAAGTCTTACATCATAGGTACCTAAGTTGTTTTCCTTTTACCAATATAATTCATTCATTCACCAAGTCTTACTACTTAACTGTTTTAAGCTTTCTTCTATCTGTTAAAAATGGTGGGTAGTTAAACATTAAAAAAGATAAATTTTTAAAATTTTTATTAATTCATTTAAAATAAAATCATTGTATGTGAACATAATAACATTTTTATGAAAATAACTATATTATAATGAGATTGGTAGTAATATTAAAAAAAGAAAATAAGTATATTCAAAAATTTTTTAAATGTTATAAGAGGAGTGGCATTGTTTTACATTTTTGCAAGTCTTGTTAATGTCTGGCTTCATAGAAGATAGCTGTATTCTATCTGCTTCCTTATTCAGTCTGTTAAAATTTGTTGGTTTGTTTGAAGTATATGAAGGATATGTTGCCTCACACACATATGCGGCTGAAAAAAATAGGACTATTTTAGAAACTTTTTTAGATAATTGTGAATTTTTTTTTTATACTCCACCAAACTTGACAAGAGGTAGTTTCTGAAAGGTTGGTTTGTTGCAGTACAGAATCTGAACGCATAGTCAATGAACTCTTTGTACTTTTACAATAAAATCCATTGGTCCATCTTGCATGGAATGGCTCTTTTGTAATGCCTTTCATTGGCCATTTGGAAAATACTGGTTTACTGAGTTATATAGATCTTCCAAATGTTGACACATTTCCATATACTTCATTAAAAAAAAGTGACATTTGTTAATATCACCGTTCTCATCAGAGAAGTCTTTAAGTATTAAGAAGCTTTCAAGCTCATGTGTTTCATGATACCAGTTTCCAAAATCATTTTCATTCTGTTCAAATATTTTCGAATTCCCCTTGTGATGTATTGTTTGACTTATGGATTATTTAGAAGTATAATGTTTAGTTTCCAAATATTTGGGGATTTTCCAGCTGTCTTTCTGTTGTTGGTTTCTAATTTCAGTCCATTGTGGTCAGAGAACATATTTTATATGATTTCAGTCCTTTGAAATTAATTGTTTACTGCCCAGAATATAGTCATTCTTGATTAATGTTCCAGGTACACTTGAAAGTAATATGTATTCTCCTATTGTTGTGTTTTATAAATGTCATTCAAGTCAATTGTTTTAAGTCTCCTGTAACCTTACTGATTTTCTGTACACTTGTTCTGCCCATTATATAGAGAAAGGTATGGAAATTTCCCAACTATAATTGTATATATGTTTCTTTTTCAGTTTAGGTTGGTCAATTTTTGTGTCATGTATTTTGAAACTGTTACTAGGTTCATATACATTTAGGATTATTATGTCCTCTTAATCGATTAATCTTATATCATGATGAAATGATCCTCTTTCTCCTGGGTTTTTCCTTGTTCTGAAGTCTTTGTTTAGTTTGCCTTTGGTTAGCGTTAGCATGAAAAAGGAATACTTTCTATATAATTCCATTTATATAAAATTGTAGAACTTGCAAATAAATTTATAGTGACCAAAAAAGATCAAGAACAAGGGGCTAGAGAGAAATGGGTTACTAAGGATCACAGGGAAACTTGGACATGATAAAAATGTTTGCCATCTTAATTATAGCGATGGTTTCTTGCATGTCCATATATGTAAAAATTCACCAAATAGTACACTTTAAATATATGCTGTTTATTATACATCAGTTATACCTCAATAAAGCTGTTTTAAAAAACAAAAGAATACAATGCTGCCTGGTATATTTTGGTTCACTGTCTTGACACCAGCAGTTTTATTCACCATTGTTTTTTGTGCCATCTGTGCAAACGTCAACACAGTGAAATAGGCAAATACCATCTTAATAGTATTATGAACATAATTTCAACCTCACAGGTCCTTTAAAAGGGTCCCAGTGACTCCCAAGGGGTCCACGGACCACCTTGAGAACTTCTGGTTTTACAACATCACTTCTGATATTACTCTTTATTCCTCCAGCTCTGACTCCTCCTCCAATCAATTCTAAAACAGTTTCTCATGAAGATACATTCCAGGTCATGCTACAGATTAAATATTGAAATATATTAATCATGTTCACTAAAATTTCATGACTTAAAATTGTATAAGAATAGCATTTAAAACTCTCCCTGACATGACTGATATGACCTGTCCCCCACGTGTATGTCCCTTTTGTCTCCTTGATGAATGCTGGACCACTCTGTCCTCTCTCATCTTCTGACCTTTGCTCATGCTCTTCTCAACTTCTGTCTGTTAAAATTCTACTTCTTAGGGCCCAGCTCATGTTCAGTCTTGGCTATGAAGCCTTCTCAACCACTGTACCCACAGCTATCCATCCCTTGCCTTTGTTCCTATATGTTTTATTTGGATTGTTATTTAAATGGTGCATGACATGTCTGTGTCTTGTTTCTCTAACAGTATTAGCTCTTTGGGAACAGGGACTATGTTTTATAACTTTTTATTCCCCCAAATTGCTAACATAATGCTGAATACATAATAGATACTTGAATGATTACAGAAGGGAATTTTTGTCCTACTCTTACCATTTCTTGTTTTGATAGTTCTTTGGAACTATCTTTCAAGGAATGTTTTAATTTATACCCTTAGTTTCACCTTTGTCAAATTTTCTGTGGCTTCTAGTTAATCATAGCATTTGTCAATCTTGGTAAGAATTTCTTAGCTCTCTTCAGGCTTCTACTAGTTTTTT